AGCCAGCAGGCTACGTTAACATTTACATTCATGATTGTATTGTTGCACTGCACAATATTCCTCTGCACCTAGTTACCAATAAAATATAGTTGAAATATTTAACTGTTTTGTATATTCTTTGTGTATTTTTTGGTGAGCAATAATGTCAGTGGCTACAATATGAAATAAAGCAACTTCAAAAGAAAAATATAAAAATCCCAGTTTTAATTTTTATTTACAAAGTTACAACACTATATTCCAGAGATCTATTGACTTTTAAATCTGGACTTTTGGTTTTGAACAATATTGCTGGTGGTTGGTGGTGGAATGGGTGCAAGCGTTGCTTGAATATGCCGGGGATCACTTTCACCTAAAAAAGATCTTCTGTTCATGGGAAGTTTGTTTTTCATTCTGGCTTGGAGTATCATGCTGACAATGTCTTTTATATAAAAAAAATGATTTTTCAGTCTTCCGATGAGTGACAGTCCACCTTTGAGATTTCTTGCAATATTGCCTCTGCCAACTGCAAACAAACATAAATAAAATGTGTAAATTAACACTAAAACTAAACTCACTGATTAGTGAGTTTGTTCAAAAATTCTTATATTCTCAGTTCATTTTGAACAGTGTAGATTTTGTTGTTGATTGCAAGTCTTGATCCACATTTTTGTGATGGGTATTTATGCAACTTGGGTAAATTACTACAATAATTAAGCTCAGCTCGCTGAACCAATGAAAAAGCTGTTTACTTTTTCATTAGTAACAATGAAAACAAACATACTTCAGAAAACTGAAACCTGCCAGACACTGCTCGCTACAAAGTTACGAAATCATACTCAGTTGCTGTAAGTTTTGTTCAACTGAAGCTTAGGAACTATACCTGCTACACTGCAACAAGAATCAAACTGGTGACAATAATTAAAAATATCACTGTCTTGATGGTGACTAAACCCTGCCATCTCTTGCCATGGTTAATTAGACACATGCACACAATGTGGAATCTTTGAATCAAAGCCTATCCAGAATAAAAACTGAACATGCACACTGCATCAACTTG